TGGCTGTTCGAAAAGGTTCACACTATGTGGTTCAACAGTCGTCCGATAAATGGCGTCAATGGGGAGGCTGCAAAAAAATCAGTCCGGGAACTTATGGATCGCACTGTGTATATCGTACGCAAAAGATCATGCAATTTGCAACCGCAATAAAAACAAAGTCTTATTTAAATATATATAGTTTTTCGTAGTATATTTATGTGTCCTCAAGAAAGATTTAAAAAAATAAAGCATATGCGAGGAAAATAGAATACGATAAATCTGAGAAAGAAATAGAGAGGCACGCGGAATTTATTATGGACAGAAGTGAAAAAAAATTAAAATACGCGCCAATAGTGCAAGAAATTTCAAACTTTCGCATCAAAGAATTCTTCCCAGGCCTCCTGGAATAAGGAACTTTTAGGAAGACTACCTCCGTTACCTATGTAACTGGTAGCGCACAACAATCGAACTAATTGTAAGTTTTGCTTTTTTTCCAACACCGCTAACTAAATCTACTTACCTGTATATGATTCAATCAGTAAGTTTCTGCAGCTTTTTTGACGCACTAATGACTAGCCAATTTAATCACTAAATAAATTTATCAATATTGTGAAAGATAACTTACTTGTGATGTTGCAAGAATGGAAAGGATTCGAATAAATTAGCATATATTATACAATTTATTTAAAATATGCAGTAATTTTATGTCTATTATATTTGCCTGAATCCAATGAAACTCACAAACTTTATTTTTAATTAAGTAATTGATTTGTTAAAATTTTATTTGCAAAAACTAATGCCAAGATATTATTGATCATGACCCTGGTACATCGAAATGCGGTTCGAAAATAGTATCGAATAAAAGGTCTCATTAATTTAAAGTCAACAAAAAAATTTTAGCTTGGAGCGACTCACTGTTCCAGAAAGAATCATGGGTTCTAAAAGTACCAAAACCGACAAACATCATGTCATTTGACTCTGTCTAATATTATTTTCAAAATCTGTATTGAATAAATATCCTCTTGTGTCCTAATTTGTTTCCAAAGAGTGTTTTTATCATTTTTTGATTCTCGAGTGAATAGTGTTTACATTTGACTCAATGAACCAATTGTTCACTTTTTGTTCTAATGCTGGGTCTCTAGAGCGGTTTTAGTTAAATCCTTGGCGATCCCAATTTAAACATATTTTGCTAAAATCAATTTTTGGAACAAGTTAGATCAAAGTCTTAAAAGCTATATAAACAAAAGTGGCGTCTGTCGATTTTGAAATTCTTATAAAAGCCGTTTTCTTTAAAACGATGAGTCGCTCAAAGCCGGAATTTTTTTGTTGGTTTCAGATTGATGAAAGATGAGACTATTCATTTAATATCATTTTCGAACGGCATTTCAATGTACCAAATTTTAGAATAATATTAGAAGCCTTTGCAAAAAAACGAAATTTTTTAAAATGTTATGTCCGCGCCGTTTGATTTCGAGCTAGTCGAAACAATAAGCTATCAATCGATAAAAGCTGCGATGCGCGTCTTGTGGACAACGAGTCGTTAACTGTTAAATCGGCGGCGTCAGATTTTGAGAGACAAGCCGTCAATCCGTACGAGCGTATTCCGATCTGCTCTTTATTTGCGTTTACTTATAGTTCTTCTGGTGTTATAATATAATAAAGAAAGTGTTTCTTGTTATCAGAAAAAGTGTCTCCTACATTTGTCGCGGCCGTGTTAACGCGCGTGCGCAAACGCGCGTTAATGCGAGTGTCATTCGAAATCGATTTCCGGGCGTACAATTTTATATTTTATATTTTATGTATTAAAAAAAATAAAATGTAAAATATAAAACACAAAATTATTCTGTATTATAAATTATTAAAGTCTTAATTAATTCCAAAACTGACTTTTTTAAAATAGTAAAAAAGGGTGTCAAGTGTTAGCAAGCTCCTCGAACAAAATTTTATACGTATGAGCTTCTTTTTTTGAACAAAAAACAGTTGTACATTATTAAACAATGAAACCCAAGCGGTACCATTTCTTATTTGTTAAAAATAAAACCTAAGTGCTATCTCTTTTTGTACTTTAAATACCGGTTTCTTAAGTAATACAAAATAGCGCGCTCCTCGAACAAAATTTAATACGTATGTCCTCCTTTTCTGAACAAAAATCAGTTGTACAAAATTAAACAATAAAATCTAAGCGGTACCATTTCTTATTTTTACAAAATAAAAGTATTACTATCTCTCTTTGTTTACTTATACTTACATACAAACTTTAAATTTTGGTCTCTATTTAAGTGATACGTATATCACTTTATGTCACTTATATAAAAGATTTGATATCAATAAATGGCGCCAAGTTATAATCCCATAAAAATTACGTTTTCTAACTTAAGTTATAAGTTTATTACTTATATGAAAAATTTGATATCAATAAATGACGCCAAATTATAATACCACAAAAATTATGTTTTCTTACTTAAGTCATAAGTGCAAATTATAATCTCATAATTATAGGTATTTTCTAAGAAAGTATAAAATCCTTAAATTGTGCTAATTGCAGAGAGAATATGAAAAGAATATCATGTAAGTCTTAGGTGTCTACATTACCTCAAAAACAAACTGTTATACTTAACTTTTAAAAAATAAAACCCTAGTGTGAAATAGTATCATTAAATTAAAAAAAAAATTAAACCCAAGTAATACGTACAGTACAAAATTAAAAAATCTATTTTTATAAAATA